GGTCAGGCACACCTGTCTGATGGAATTTCAGGTTTTTGCAAAAAAATTAACCTGAAAAGCGAAAAATAACTTGAAATAGGCATGGTCCACGGAGAATTCCTTCCCTTTATGATAGAGTGATCCGAACGTAAAAGTGATCACAAGCAGTGTTAAAATGGTTTATAGAGGCATTCTGGCGTTCTCGCATGCACGCCATCGGATGGATCTCCTGCAAACTCGGGCTTCATTTGGAGCTCCAGTCGGAGCTGGAGCTACTCATCAAAAGAAACAAATGGGGAAACGAACCACACAGAAGACCTACTCGTCCTACCCAAACCAGTGCCATGCAGTAGTTTTTGGGTAAGATGTTTACCAAGATTTGCCAATGGAAGCAGAGTCATCGAAATGCGGAGTACCGAGAACACAATGCAGAAAAATTGTGCAAGTGGTGTATATGGTGAATTATTACCGTATCCTTCAAAATCCAAAGATATAAGAGGATTTGATCAGTTGATATTGATAGATAATGATTGATAATAGACATCTACAATTTGATCAGTAGACATGAAAGCATTTGATTGGATGGGTAGATCAAATTGAAAAATGAATAGATCAATCAGTGCATATAACGATCAGATGCGATACTTCGTATAAAAGTACAATCCGAAAAAGTAAACTGTATCAGTTTTAATCATTTCTGCCGCGCAATACGATTCCCTAGCAGGACTGAAAAAAAAGATCAGTTTTGCCGCGCAATCGCATTGTTGATCAAATGTTTTTTGTGATGAATGAAAGGATATAAAAGAATATCGATATGTCGAGAGTGATTCATTTATCAGTTAGTGGTTGTCGTGTGCGGTTGCGATGAGTTAATCGGAACGTGATAGTTATAGGCCGTGATACTGGTTTATGATGAATGATCGAGTTTATATTCAGTAGTGAATTCAGTGAATCGTTTGTATTCTGAATTTTATTCAGCGCATCGACCGGAGGGATCGACTGCCCATGGTGTAGGCCCAACGATGACCGTAATTCAAAAGAGGACAACGAGCAGACGGGATACGGCGATAACGTATGGATTGGGATATGGAAGAAGAAGCGGTGGCCAAAAATGAAGCAGCATGGCGATTCAAGGAATGTGGCAGTCCAGTGGCGATTCAAAGAAGCTCTTCAGCCATGGTTCCGTTGGACAATCAAGGAACGAGCGGACATTAGAGAAGGTGAGTATATATGTCAATTATTGGTAACGATTCACTTTTCAATTAATAATCGAATTCATTTCCGAAATTGTGGATGGGTCGATGAATCGAAGGCACGTGTGGTGCGATGGACGTATGGAGGGAAGCGGTCACAGGCCGATGGCAGACTTTGATCGATGTTTTTGGTAAGTTTATTCATAAATTATTGTAAGATTTAGCATTGCTTAGCGCAGTATCATTGTTATTCATTAATCGCTTTCAGGGCAGCACTTCATCGAGACGAAGAGGATCTACAGCCCTACAAGAGGGCGAAAACAAGAAAGGACGAACCGTCAGCCCACGGGATCGGGACAGAATCATGAGGATCTTCAGCCCATGGTATCGGGCGAATGTGGACAGCGATCAACCGACGAAGCGGCCTTATGGATGGCTGGTTTTATTTTTTTATTATGCGGTCATCATTGGTTTGTGATAATTTTCAGCACATTGAAAATACTGAGAGAAGAAATATTAAATAACATAACTAATAAATAAGAAAGTAGCAATTCAAAAAGTCAACAAAGTATTTCGAAAGGATTTGAAACTTGGAAATTATACGTGAAAAGATGACCGTTTTTCAATGCTATCTTTTATGTTTTAATTCTTTCATTGTTCGTTATTTGTATTGTTTATATTTGG